CCCAACACTTTCAATAGTAATTTTTAGCTCATAAATTTAGACAAATGCGCACGATAATTTTCTAACACTTAAATTCATACAATTCCAACGACAAACATATGCATTACATACAGAACTGAGCTTTATATATTAGATTAATTAAAGTAATGTCAGAAACATTCAAATTTTTTATTGTACTATAGTCTCAATCTATCAATATCATCATTTGTTACAACAAGTTGAACTTTTATGGCATTTAGAATGATATAGCAGCTTGTTATTTTTACACTTGCAGCGATTTGTTGTGCACTTAGTTGTGCAATTGCAGCGAGTGTAGCCTTGGCCCCCAGTCAATGATTGTGAAGATGCGATGGTTCGTAGTGATTTTTCCTCAGTGCCAACTGACGACAATAAGAGCAGTTTTTCGTGAAGAATTGAAAACTCACTACTAGCATACAGTTGTTTTAGAACACCATGTTCCGTTCCTAATTTGTAGAAACCGCCCTCGGCGCTCATGACAACTGCAATCACGCTTCGGGGATCACCGTGACCTCTGTCAACATCTGCAAAACGGATGCGTACATTGTCACCCACTTCACCATCTTTAAATTTTGTATTTGATGTTTTAAGCATCTTAGCACCTTGAGTTTGCAAGCCAGTATGAGCTGCTGATCTGTATTCCATGATGGCTTGTTTTTTGTGACACAATCTGCAGGTAATGTTCCCTCCGTACCGTTCGTCTGCTTCATTGGGTATTCCACAAATAGCATGGATATCGTTGCCACAGGATCCAAAAGAATGAGCTGCACTACAATGTTTTTCACAAACTATATAGAATCTGTTGGCCACATTATTGTCACGCAACTGGTCTGGACGTTCCGCCACGGCAGCAGATGTGTTAGCTGAGAATGTCGTTGCATTTATGGCAACCTCCATTTCTTGTTCAATGTTCTCAAGATCTTCCTCAGTAACTATTTTATCGAGAGCCCATATATGGAAACTAACATGGATTTACATTTTTTTCTTTTGACAGCCATCTGCTATGTCTGTCTCATGGTCTGACTGCCCTTTTGATCCATGTCGACTTGCATATAGAATGCTATACAAACAAGAGCTAAACAATACGTTACTCTCAATGAAAACGCACCCTGAATAATGAAAATGCGATCACAACTTAGTCTAGATAGAACATTGGCCAGGACATCCCGGCCAGTGCGCGCATTGGCCGGTCAATGTACAAAATACGCTGTCAAGTTTAAGCGCTTCGGACTTTGGCCAGTACGTCCCGGCCAGTGCGATCTTAGTGCTATGTTTTTCGGGCTTTGGCCAAGAGAGCCGGCCAATGCGCGGATTGGCCGGCCAATCCGGGGTTTGGCCGTACTTCGGGCTTTGACCGTAACATATATATTATATATATATATATATTTATTTATTTATTTATTTATTTATTTAATAATAAATATATAGTGTATGTATGAATGTGTGCTTTTATAAGTGTGTTAGTGCGTCTGTGAATTTTTATAAGCGTATGTGTATGTAAACGTTTTTCTATTTATATGTCAGCATATTCTTTTTCTAGGTGTGCTATCACTACATTTTGTGTAAGAGTAAAGGAATGACGTCTATCTTACTGCGGGGAGTACATACTTTCTTTGAAAAGCAAACTGCATATCTGGGTAAGCCCAAAGATTATGTATGAAGGTGGGGAGGCGACAAAGGTTGTCAACATTTAGGGGGGGGCTGTGGGGTTGGAATGCCGAGTCTAAAAATCGAAATACTAACCGTCAGAACAGTGTTGTATCCAGTTAAAATACTACAACAGTTGGGGGGGGGGGGGTTACACCAAATAGAATATGCAAAATATTTGTTGGGGGGGGGGGGGGGGGGGTTCGCACGTGCGTTAATATTTAAAACCCGAGATCCAACGCGACTAAATGTTGTAATTTTCTGGAAAAAGGCCAGAGCAGGGAAAACACAAAGCGTAAAACAACAGCTGCCTTTTAATTTGTTATTGGGTGGATAAAGGCAAAGGAAGCAAATATACCAAATCGACGGATGGAGCTATTACCTTACATCAGCAGGTTGAACTTCTGATGCACTTTATAGCGAGAACTGGGTCGGATGAGGCCTGATAGCTCTAAAATCAAACAACAGCTGCTTTGTTAAATTTTCTTGGATGGACAAAAGCTAGGGAAGCAAATCCCAAAAGAAAAGCAGGCCCAAATTGTAGTCAATGAACCATAATAATATGGCGCATAACATGTTTACACGTTATATTTAATTCTGTTGGAGGAAACATTATAAATTAAGCAAAAAAAATAAAAGCGAAGAAGAAGAGATCGGTATGGTATTGGCAAAAGAGAGGCAAATCTGTGTTAAGTCTGTAACTAGAGACCTAATAATGGACTGAAACTCCGGAGTTAATCGTTGAAGTGTCGAATCAAAATAATCTGAAGGTGCACTAAATTTCGTGTTGATCGTTTAAATAATGTTTTAAATTTTGCAGGCGGTATTTTCTTACTGATGGCTGGAGATGAAGTCATTGTATCAACATCACAATGTGGAGTCGTTGAAGACGGAATATCATCATATGTGGGCTTAGTGAACATTAGAAACACTCTAAAGTAAATGTGATGTTTTTGGCAGATTCTTCTCCAGGAAAGGTCACTTCAACGAACACACGATGAAACACACGGGGGAAGCGTCGTTTGAATGTGAATTTTGTGGGAAAGGATTCCGTTCTCAGAGGGTGCTGAAGTCACACAGTTGTATGAGAAGTTGTATGATTGTGAGGAGTGCGGCGGAGAATTCTGCCAGCCGTCCACACTCAGGAAACATAAGATGCATCGCACGGGAGAAAAACCCTTCGTGTGTGAGCACTGCTCCAATTCGTTCAGGTAAGTCATGCTTGACGCTCCACGAGAGGACCCACAAGGAGGATAAGCCATACACTTGGGATGATGACTGTGGCATGCGTTTGGCACAATCGGCGTTCACGAGGCGTCATAAAAAGATACACACAAGGATGCAGCTTAAAATCATAATTTCGTAAATGGGGCACAATCTATTCCTAATACTTTGTTGATTTAAAGTCAGTTGTATAAGAGTAAGAGATTTTTTTCCAGGTTTTTGAAAATTTTAATTATATTTCTTTCTTTAAATTTTTACTAACTTTGAATATTAAGTCATGATAACTCACTTATAAAATAAAGACTGTATCTTTCCTTTACGCCATTTTTCTAGGGTTGTTGTTTTACATACTAGTTTAACAGCTCCTATATTTAATATTATTTCTAAAAAATAAAGTTTTTTTTTTTCTTCTTTCATTTTTTGAGTGTTTGAGAACAGTCAGGAATTAAATTTCTTCTCTAATAACAGTAACATGTATCTCTTGGAGTGTGCATTAGGGTTGTCCACATTCTCTATATACTTACTTTTGTTTTAGCACAGCATTTCACACTATTGCTCATTTATTATGCTTTGATTTAATTTAAAAAAAAAAAATCCTTTTAATCAACATTGGAAATCTTCAATAATTTACAAATTGCTGGTCTTTTCTGAGTATAAATCTTTTTCAATTTTCTGCAATCATATTATTAGACATTATTTTATTATATAATTTTTAAAAACTTAAATTAAAACACAAAATACTGATAGATTTGTTTTAGGTAATTTAAAACATGGCAGTCCTCACATTCTTATTGTGTGAAAATAATGTTAATCTAACCACTTTTTCACCACCTGTGAACAAAACATTTTTTTTAAATTGCCACTGAAATAATGTTAGATAATAACTATAAAAGCCCTAATTTACTTTTAAGTCATTGAGGAAAAAATATTATTGAATCTACTTTTTCCCACTTTTGTTAAAAAAAGCTTGATATTTCATTGCGCAAGAATAGTCACAAGACGTTTGCTGAGTGAGTAAATGGTTCAGTGTCTTTTCTCATTTGACATTTAGCTGTTGATTTATATTACTTTAAATAAATTTAATTACAATTACGAGTGGGTTTTTTTTTTTTTAAAAAACCTATAAGTTGTTGTAACATAATAATTATATAAGAAAGTTGTAAGCATTGCTGTGATAAAATTTTGTGTTATAAATTGACAATTTTTTGTGTGTGTTTATTTTGTATGTGTTTTATGATAAGTCTGTTAAGCTGTACTGTAAACAGTGTTGACTAATATGTCAAATATGCTGTGAGGTCAGCCCCAGATAGATCATTCATTGTTTTCCTCATTGGATTAATATCAATTAGATGGTGTGGCCAAAGCGGTTGAGCGCTGGGCTGCTAACCCGAAAGTCTTGAGTTAGAATTTAGGTCCAAGTCAATAGAACGTCCCTGAGTCCACCCTGCTCAAATGGGTACCTAACTCATGTTAGGGCAAGTAAAGGTGTCTGGCCAAAGTGCTGACCACACCTTCTCTTCATGTGCCTATGTCAAGAAACATATTAACTCTACTTCATCTGCTAATGGATCACTAGGTCCAAGGAGCATTATGATAGATGAATCTTTAATTCATCTTTCATAAACTGAAGTATTGTTTTTAGCTTTCCTGTGAAATAGGTTCTTATATATAATTTATCATGTTTGTTAGTTGAGTCAAATAACTGATTATTTATTTAATTACAGATAGAGTAAATTTGTGGGGTTTTTTTTTTATAGTTGCTAAATGTCTATATGTCCTTTGATAGAAACAATTATTTGTTTTATTATCTATTTACATTTTTATTTCATTTTTTAATAATTGTTCTTAGGAGCATTTTGTTAATTTATTTTGGTGTTTTGTTGCTGAATAAAAATATATTGCTGCTTGAAAAATAAATGAACTTAAAGCTTGACTTTTTTTTCTTTCAATACCTGCTTTAAGGTGAAATTCTTGATTATCATGTTCGGATAAGCTCTGATGGAATTAGTTTATTAAAAGTTGTCTTTTTAGCACTTTTTATGTAGCTGTTTAAAAAAAAGAGAGATAAGCATGGGATTTAATAAGACGGATGGCAGAGTTTATACATTCCTTTGGCCACAGCATAATATGTAAACCTCCCATTTATAATATTTATTGTAAAAATGTAAGGCCTGTTACATTGCATGATTTTAAAAAAAACAATATTTTTAATCAATTTACCACTGCCTTGTTATATAAAATGTATTATACAATTACAATAATTACTATTAGGCTCAAAACAGTTTACCATAAAAGCCTAAATAAAAACACTTCAGCTTTGTAAGTTAAGAGTTGATTTCATGGCTAATAAGCAAGTAAAAAGTCGGTCATTTTCCTGAGATATGTTGGTTTATTAAGCCTTCATATTTCATGTACTGAAAATTAAAAGACTGTTATTAAAAAAAAACACACACACACACACACAACAAGAAAAAAAGACTTTCCTGTTTCAAAATTTGCAAGGAAATAAACAAAATCTTGGAGTACTAATTTTAATTGAAATGTCATTGCTGATATAATCAAGTTTTTTATTATCAAAGAATAGATCCACAATGCTTCATTTTTAGCGCCTTTGTTGATTTTTTATATAGGGAGGTAAATGTAAAAACAACTCACAACTGCATTATATTTAGTTGCCTCCCTGTCCAAGTTGTGTTTATTAACCTACTTTCATAATCATTAAACTGAAAATCGAAAGCAACGTAACTTAAAAAAAAAAAACACATACACATAACAAGAAAAAAAAAAATTTTCCTGTTTTAAAATTTACACGGAAATAATTTTAAAACCTTGGAGTACTAATCACTAATTTTACCTGGCTCACACAATTAAGGTTATTAATTATCATTGCATAGAAATTGAGAGATTCACAAGGCTAAAGGTTTTATTGCCATCGTTGATTTTTAAAGGGAGATAAACGCAAAACTGGATTTTATTTAGTTACCTCCCTCTAAATTACATTACGACGTTTCCAAATTAGGTTGATGTTTAAAGGGAGTTAAACACAAAATCATCTCAGACTGGTTTTATTTAGATACCTCCCTCTAAATCACATCACAGCTGTGGGGTACGAAACACCATCATAAGAGGCGGAATAAAAAATAAATATAACAGAATCTGCACAAGTAGAAAACGAATTTTTTTCCGTATGGTAAGAAAAAAGATGCATTTTGACACCACACAATGTGGCAGGTGAAGTAGAGCACAAATGTTCTATGACCTCAGCAGTGTGGTCAGTATTATGCCTAGCCACTTTGACTTTTCCTAACGCTAGAAAACGAATTTCAGGCGTTATTTCGCGTTTTAGAAAACTGTTGTAATAAATTGTAATAGGAATTGATTAAAATACGCTATGTCGACAGAGTTCAGACAAGATTTTGGAAAAAATATCGTATTTTAAGAAAAACTGCAATTTCGAGGTGGGGGGGGGGGGCGGGTTGTAGGCTCAGGTGTGACGTCATTTTAGGAGGCAGGTCTGGCTTTTGTGACATGTGTGACGGAAGGCAGGGGGGGGGGGGTAAAAATCGTCAACAAAGCGTGACGTCATTTATGGTCACCCCCCCCCCCCCCCCCGGCCTACATCCGTCATAAGTAGTAGCATCGCATTTAGGAAAAAATATTTTCTGATGTAAACTCAAATAAACAGCCTTAATTGTAAAAAACACTCTTGAAAATTCGAATAGAAAATATGTAATTCTAGCAGCTACATTTATTTGTAAATTGTTAAATGAGCAAAGGAATCTCAGTTGTCTCGTTTTGAGTTTCTTCCAGGCATCTCTTCACGCGCACGCACACACGTACATATAAACAGAATGCAAGCGGCCAAAACACGATCAGTTTCTTCCAGGCATCCCCCCCCCCCCGAAGAAAGTATACCGTACACCCCCCCCCCCCCCCCCCCCCACCCGAACGAAATGAAATTTTTATAGAAAATATATACTTTTAACAGTGTCCGTCCCCCGTCCCCCCAAAAAAAAGTCTACCCCCCCCCCCCCCCGAAAATTTCAAGTGCCCCCCTTCAATTTTGCAATTGAAAATAATTAGATTGTCCCACTTTATTAGCTTTATTAGAATGGGACGGAGTGGTTTAGCGGTAGAGAGCTGGACTGCTAACCCGTAAGTCTCGAGTTCGAATCCGGGTTAATGTCAGTAGCCCGTCCCTGAGTCCACCCAACTCTGATGGGTACCTAACTCACGTTAGGGAAAGTAAAAGCGGCTGGGCATTGTGCTGACCTAACTATCTCTTCATATGCCTAGGTCAGGTTTGAAAGGGAAACTTTACTTTATTAGCTTCTTAACTATTGAGCTAAGCCTAAAATAAAACAAACATAAAAACAGCTAAAAAATAAATGCTTATCCTAATGTATTTTATGATCAGTATCGCTTTTAAAATCGTGGATACAAGTAGTATGAACCAAAAGATAATATTTAGTTTACAGAAATAATTTTATTGCTGATTTCCTTATGGAGAATTGACAAAATTCTATAAATCAATGTAACAACAACACATGTTTCACAAATTTAAAATGTGAAATAATTCATACTTAACATAAAAAAAATACCTATGAAAATAAAACTTACAAATAAATATACACCCGTTATCACTAACAAGTACAGCATACATTAAAATTATTTTCAGCATTTGACCATTAATATTAAACATTCTCACAAAGAATAATGCAAATAAAACATCATACGTCGCATTTGTGAAACAGTTTTTTTTTCAACGTAAGTAATCAATTGAAAAAAATTAGATCACATACTAGCAGAACAATGTACTACAAGTTCGATTCTCCCAACCACACACAAAAGAAGTAAATTTTTGTGCAAATTCACATTTGACACGTAACATTTTTTTAAATGCCAGTATGTGATGAAAAATAAGTTTTAAGATTGAATATTGAAAAGTAAGTTTTAAGATTGAATATTATTTTTTTCGCTCCTTAGCATCTAAAAATGTTAATGTTTTCAAGGGAAACAAATCAAACATAAGTTCCAGAACCATTTTTAAATTTAAATAAAATACATAAAAAATAATTAAAACAAACAAAGTTATTTGTCATTGCAATCTTTTTTAAGATCTTTTAATTTGCAATAGCATCTTAGTCTAGAATGTACGGTTTATATATTATAAGAAACTTATTTTATTCTAATTTAAGCACTAAAACCTTCTACCTTTATTAATTACATTTGTTATGAATAAAAATTATTTTACAATAGCTTCATTTTAAAGTGAATATAGAGCTTTCTTTACTGTTTTCCGTTCTCCTAAACAAAAAGATACAATTCTAACTTTAAAACATTTGATTGATTAAAAATGTGTTGATACTTGTTTAGATCAAAACCTCATGAAGACGAGTAAAACTCTTAAAATGAAACAAACTCTTCACATTGTGTTTAGGTGTGCAAACGCGATGAAGTAAATTCAGAAAGAAAATCGGGCTGAAATCGGAGTCGACTGGTGATATGGTTCTTAATACGAAAGACAAATAATAATCAATTGTGTTGAAGTAAATCCCCTCATAAATTAAAATTAATTAAGAAGACAAATCGCTGACTTAAGTTTGTCATTGTTCAGTTTATCCATGTCCAGTTTGTCATTGTCGAGTTTGTCATTGTCTAGTTTGGCATGTCCAGCTTCTGATTGTCTAGATTGTCATTGTCCAGTTTGTCATGTCCAGTTTCTGATTGTGCAGTTTGTCATTGTCCAGTTTATCATTGTCAAGTTTGTCATTGCCATATTTGTCATTGTTCAGATTGTCACTGTCCAGTTTGTCATTGTCCAGTTTGTAATTGTCCAGTTTGTCATTGTCCAGTTTGTAATTGTCCAGTTTGTCATTGTTCTGTTTATCATTGTCCAGTTTGTAATTGTCGAGTTTCTCATTGTCCAGTTTGTCATTGTCCAATTTGTCATTGTCCAGTTTGTCATTGTTCTGTTTATCATTGTCCAGTTTTGTCACTGTCCAGTTTGTTATTGTCCAGTTTGTTATTGTCCAATTTGTCATTGTCCAATTTGTCATTGTCCAGTTTGTCTTTGTCCTGTTTCTCATTGTCAAATTTCTCTTCGCCATTTAGTCATTGTAATTTTCTAACTGTCCTGATTCTCATTGTCGAATTTATCTTTACACCGTTTGAAATCATCTGTTTGGTCAGCTACTGCGAACATATCTCAAATACCGCATTCAACTACAATGTTAAACAGTATAAGCGTCATTCTAGTGCCCACTACCTTCAATGAGAAACTCGCGCTTTGTGTTGACATTCGGCGTCCCTAGCAACGTTAAAATTTCCAGAGGATACATTCACAGGCCAAAATGGTCATCTAGTCACATCCGTTTCCGCTGAAGTTGTTAGTACCGTTGTACCCGCTGTGTATCTGGTTGTACCACAGACCCCACTTCCGGCCCATGATGTAGACGGTGGCGCCGCTCGACCCGGGGCAGGTGGGGGCGTTGTAGGTGTACGTGGCGTAGGGGTGCCCGGGGGAGGACTCGCCCCTTTCTTCACGAATCGCCCACACCCCCAGGGAGATGTACTTGATGCAACCGTGAGGGTGGGACACGATGACAGTGAGCTTGTCATCCGGGGTGTCGAACTTCTTGCACACCTTGGCGTGCAGCGGCGGGTACCTGGACCAGTTCTTCCTCATCCGGTCTAGCAGTTCTAAATCGTGGGTCACGCATGACAGGTGACACCGGTCGTCCGTGACGTCCGCGCGCTCCATATCAACACCTTCCATAATAATCTCCGGGCTTTGAATAGAGTTAAACCCGAACCGACATACAGCATGGAGAGCTTCATCCTTATCGTACACGACATGCACAGCCGTAATAACCCGGATCAACCCCCACTCTTTTTTCGGGGTGGGTGAGTTCTTACACGAACTGCACACGCACGAGCGGTTGTCCTTTTCCGTGTACCTCCACACCGTCCCCACCCTCCCGGTACCTGTCCGACATTTCGTCTGGCCCCTCTCTTCGCTGTACGGATACGGACGTGTCGTCCCCTCGTAGTAGACTGGTCTCTTATTACTGGTATAGGACACGTCGACTCTTACTGTTAAAAACGAGATGACCTGGATCAGCTGGAAAAGTTCATGGTCGCGATATCTACTGGGGAGGTGGTTCAGTGTAAACGTCTCCGCAGCGATGTAGCCGTTGTGGCTTTTGTGGCAGCCGAAGACAAATCGGATGAAACCCCCTTCTGCCGCAGGGCCAGAGGAGACCTCGTGCACCCCTGGGGATGAAAACAGTAATTCATTGATGTAACAATGTGTTAAATTACTTAAACACAGGCGTGGTCAAGACGGTAAAGCTCATGGTGGCTAACCCGAAAAGTCTCGAGTTCGAACCCTCGGGTAGATGAGGCTCGTTAGCTGGGGACAGCCACTCTTCTAGGAGAGACAACTCCAAAATCAAACAACTGCTGCCTTGTAGTTTGTTCTTGGTAGGACAAAGGCTATGGAAGCAAATCCAAAAATAAAAGAAGACTGAAATCGGAATCAATGGCCTTAATGGCGGATAACCGGTTGAAACGTATACTTAATTGTGTTGGAGGGGATCCCTTCCACACTAAAATTAAGAATGAAAAAGAAGATTTAACCTTGGTATTTTATTATTATAAACAGCATAAACGACACGTCTTGTCTCTGGCTCTGTCTGTAGTTAACTAACACACAGGTAAACACTGAGTATACAAGGGACGTAACTACAATATACCCAATACAAGGGACGTAATAATTAGTAACACGATAAACTGATGATAGCGCTTAGATCGTAGATTCCAAGGCTCTACCTATACGAAAAGAGTAGACGTTACTCCAGTATTACAAAGTTCTATTTAAAATCCCGTGTATTGTCTACAACAGGAACTAAATTCAAGGGTTTTAATCTTTGTATAAAAGCTAAAAAATAACGTAAAATGTACTTTGATGACGATATGGATGTATAAAAGATCTAGTAGCGTTTCTCTTTAGACTGATAGATGCATTACGTTTTTCGACCTCAGCATTTGAAGGGATAAAGTGCTCAGCAATAGCGTAGCGAGGTCGGGTGTCACCCGATGCGGCACTTAATGGTGTCACCCCCCAGAGGCGTAGCGACCCTACCCGGGGACAAACTTTCAAGTTTTCGATTTGCGCCCCCCCCCTCAAACTTTTGATTTGCACCCCCCCCCCCCCCCTCAAGTTTTCGATTTGCAGCCCCCCTCCTCAAACTTTCGATTTGCACCCCCCCCCCCCCTCAAGTTTTTCTCTATATATTTTGCTATTTTTTGCCTTGGTGTCACCCCCCTAAATGGTGTCACCAGGTGCGGTCCGCACCTGCAACCCCCCCCCCCTCGCTACGCCCCTGGTGCTCAGCACCATGCCCAGACGCTTTTAAAATTCCCCAACTCAAGTCAGGTACCCATCAGAGCTGGGTGGATTCAGGGACGTCTTACTTTTACAAGTCCGGACTGAGATCCGAGTTCGAGACTTTCGGGCTAGAAACAAGACAGACACTCTACCATTCGACCACTCCGTCCCATGCACTGGTGTAAACATCTTTGAAACATTAAAACTATCTACATACCAACAATATTTTACTATCGTGCTATGTTACATGTTACACAATAGAGATAACATTACCAATAACTTACCTATAAAAGGTCCGAGATATATAATTTTATTATCATCCTCTTCATTAGCGTTCTTTTTATCACGCCTTGTAATTTCTGAAATTAAATTTTCATTAAACGAAGTTAAGATTGCGTGCATATACGGGGGGGGGGGGTTAATGCCACTTGAAATGTGTATGTGAGTTATTCTATCCGGCTGGTGGCAATAAATTCTGTGATAGTCGGGTGTTTATTTTTAGATCTGGTGACCCAAATGAGTTAGAAATCGTCCATTTACCCGACATTCATGAACGGCAAGTTAAAACTCAACTCTTCTTCTTAATCCCATTCGTGCCCAAGTAGAGTTCATCTGATTCATTGACCTCTCGGCATATGAAGTGATAATGTGGTCAACACTATGCCCAGTCGCCTTTGTTTCCCTATCGTAAGTTAGGTACCCATCAGAGCTGGGTGGACCCAGGGACGTTTCACTGATTTGAACCCGGATTCGAACTCGCGACTCGGTTTAGCAGTCTAGCTCTCTACCGCTAGGCCACGCCGTCCCCACCTCCATCTACCCCCCCCCCCCTAAAAACGAAAAAAAAACTCTTAGTACGATCAGTATTTGAACACAGGACGCATGTTGTTGTTTTGTTGTTGTTTTTTTTTTTTTGGGACAATGGACCTGCGCCTGTAGATAAAGTGTACAGAACACATTATAGTAAAGCTAGTTAAATTTGAGATTTTAAAAAATGTTACCCATGATTGAGAGCTTGCTAGTATTCACTTTGGATTTCTCCTAGGTCTGAAAAAGAGGAAAAATAATTTATTGACTATTTGTGGTCAAGTCGGTAAAGCTCATGGTTGCCAAACCGAAAAGTGTCGAGCTCGAAACCTCGGGCAGATGAGCCACTCTTCTAGCGGAGACAACTCCAAAAATCAATCAACTGCTGCCTTGTAGCTTGTTCTTGGTTGGACAAAGGCTATGGAAGAAAATCTAAAAAGAAATACAGGCTGAAACACGTATCCTTTATTGTGTTAGAGGCGTGGTCGAGTCGGCAAAAAGATCACGTTGATAAATTTGAAAATAAGTCTCGAGTTCAAACCCACTGGCAGATAAATCTCCATCACTTTCAACACTTATCAAGAACGAAGAAGAAGATAATATTTTTGTATTTCTAAAATTGGGATGGCTGTTTTATTTATATATATCTATATTTTTATATAATTATTTTTACACGACTTCGTCTTCTAAAAAAAAAATAAAGTACATACTAAATAGGTTTTTTTCAGAAATGCTAACATCAATAAACAAAACAACAATTTGTTATATTTACATAGTTGATTGAACGTTTTCATTCATTTCAACAATGATTTATTTATTTATTTTTACAAAAACGCGTCGTTTAAAAATTTAAGCCCTCTTCAGCATTTGCTTATCCCCTTTATCTAATGTATCCAGATTTCAAACGTTCAACTGTGTTATTAATAGCTTTTTAAACATTATGTAATTAATTATAAATATTTTAACGCAATCTCTACATTTATCATTTAGTTAACTAAATGAAAAAAAAAAAAACTTGCCTTGCAAATGACATCAAGAATAAGCAACCACTTTGGATTTCCAAATCTGTATTAACAGAGCCTTATTCAATGTTCCCTAACTCGAAACGTCGTACCCAATTAAATCCGGGATTCCACTATTTATAGCCGAGGAAATGTCTATTTATGACTTTGACCCGTCTTCGTTGGCTCGTCGTATTGTGCCGGCTAGTTATTAAAAAAAAGGCATAATTTGAGAGATGGCCTTGACCTACGTACTGCTCAACAACATCAACACCACCATCAGTGATCTCCCCTACATGGGGCGCGAGTTGGTTGCTGAGGTGTAAACTGCAGCAGATGTAGAGGTGGGGCGGGGAGGATTGAGTGGGGTGTAATTCTAGACCTGGGCTGAACACTTTCTCAATTCACGCGCACACACACTGTTTAGCCAACACATACACACACACACACACTTAACCAACACACACACACACGCTTTAACCAACACATACACACTTTAACCAACACATACACACACTTTAATCAACACGCACACACACACACTTTAACCAACACATACACACACACACACTTTAACCAACACACACACACACCCAGCACTTTAACCAACACGCACACACACATTTTAACCAACACATACACACACTTTAATCAACACGCACACACACACTTTAACCAACACATACACACACACACACTTTAACCAACACACACACACACACACACTTTAATCAACACACACGCACACACACACGTTAACCAACACATACACACACACTGTTTAGCCAACACACACACACACACCACACTATACACACATCCTTAAGTCAATACAAATGAGCGATACGGTCCATTACCCATAAAAAAGACGAGTGAGGCTGTATTTCAGATGGAGTAGAGACGGGTTCACGAGTCACCTGAATGTTTTATATTTTCCTGCTACGGTATTAGGTTAGGGGTCATCTATTTATGACGTCCACACGCGGGGAAGGAGGGGTGGGGGGGGGGGATCCGACATTACTAAAGAAAACAGAAGGGACAGAGAAGTAAGGGGACAATTTACAACCTGATAATGTGATAGAGTTGTCTGTGTTTGTATTTATGATCCTTATGCTGTCTATGTGTGTGTGGATGTGTGTTTGACAGAGAGACAAGATAGTGTATGTGTTTATGTGTGCGTGTGTGTGAGAGAGATAGAGTGTGCATGTGTAAGAGAGATTGTGTGTGTGAGTGTGTATTTGTGGGTATGTGTGTGTGCTTGATTGTGTGCTTGTGTTTGTAGAAGTGGTCACACTCTCACGAGACATGACATCACCACCACATCCGTCAACAAGTCTCCCATTCAAGTGTTTCTAACACTACGCGAGTCACGTCAACAAACTAGCCACTATGAAAGTTACGTTAAGTGTTACGATGTCATTGAAAAGTTACGCCGCTGATTATAAAACTTGATACGGTGTCTGCTACAGTAACTCAATGGGGGTTAGGGGTGGGGGGGGTGGGGGACTCGTGACTCTTAGCAAACTCGTGACTGTAACATTTTGTAAAGTGAGAAAGTGTAATTTAATTAAGTTAATAAGTTAAAATTCAGTTTTATTTTTAAAAATGACTATATAAAATGAGAAAGTAATGTCACGTGCATTGTCAACTAATTCTGAACGATTCTCACCCCCCCCACACACACACACACACACACATCACCCCAGGGGCCTAAAAATGCCTTTTATTTATGGTGTCATCCATAAATTACGTCACGCTTTTTTGACGATTTTTACCTCCCCCCTCCCCTCTGTCACACATCGTCACAAAAAACCAACCCCCCCTCCTAAAATGACGTCACACCTCAGCATACACCCCCCCCCCCCCTCAAAATCGCTGTTGAATTTTTTTTTTAAAACCATCGATATTTTTCCAAAGTCTGAAACTCTGTCAAAATACAGTATTTTAATAAATTCCTATTAAAATTTATTAAAACAGTTTTCTAAAACGCGAAAAAGCGTCTAAAATTCGTTTTCTAAACATTGTTTTTTATAATGCAAAAGTGTGACGTCGCACCATCGTAACCCCCCTCCCCCACATCACACACCGTCACAAAAATTACGGATCCCCCTCCCCCCTACGAGTGTGACGTCTTTTTATGGACGACCCCCCCCCCCCCCCATGGACGGTCCCTTGAAAACATAAACTAACTCTCCACACATAAATTTCACGAAGTGTAAATTTTAGTGTAATTGCGTCTCTTAATTTTCTTCCAAAGATATCAGCTTTATCGTTTCTATATGCCTATCTTTATCTCATCGTTTAAAACAACAGTAGGCCTACTTCGGAATCTTAAATCAATACAGCATTTCTTCATTACTTCCCTTGAAAAACCCCTCAGCCTTCACGAACGAAAACAAAGTGTTTAACTGTTTTCCGTGCCACCGTGTTAAATCAGTTGTACGAAAGTTATCGGCGTGCGAGATAAGCTCCACATATTATTGTTGAATTATGTTCTAATTACTTTTCCAGCATACACACATTTTCCTATACAGAGGAGTAGCGAGGGGGGGGGGGGCGAGGGTGCGGACCGCACCGTGTGACAACCATTTAGGGGGGGGGGGGGGGGGGGGGTGACACCAAGGCAAAAAATAGTAAAATATATAGAGAAAAATTTGAAGGGGGGGAGGAGTGCAAATCGAAAGGTTTGAGGGGGGGGGGGTGCAAATTAAAATTTCGAGGGGGGGGGGTGGCTAATCGAAAATTGAAAGTTTGTCCCCGGGAAGAGTCGCTACGCCTTTGGGAGGGGTGGGTGGGATGACACCATTAAGTGCCGCACCGGGTGACACCCGACCTCGCTACGCCAGTGTTCCTATACCATCCCCATCCGCCCCAAAACTTTGTCCTAAATTATCATACAAGGCTTAAATAACCACGCACCCATTTCTCGCTCTAAAGTGGCGACGTCATTTATATGTCTGTGATTTCGATTAAAATTTTGAGTTTATATTTTAAAATGTTAAAATATTATGGGAGCCCACTTGCAAAAATCTACTGATCCTTTGAAACGTATTTCTTAGGGGTTATGGGGGAGGGGACTTTCGGCTAGGGGGAGACACTGGTAAAAGTGTATATTTTCTAGATAAATTATATTTTGTTGGGGGAGGGGGGGGTACAGACTTTTTTCTGCGGGGGAACACTTGAAATTTTAGGGGGGGGGCGGACTAAAATTTTAGGTGGGGGGGGGGGGGGGCGGACACTGTTAAAAGTATATATTTTCTATATAAATTCCATCATTTCGTTCGGGTGGGCGGTAGACTGTCTTCGAGGGGGGGGGGGGGGGGGTGGGCTGTGCCTACCAGTGAAACTATAAGCTACTTCTGAGAAGAATTTTTTTTTAATTACCGATTCTCTTATCTTCATGTTGCTAGAATTACTTACATAGCCTTATATAACAAAAGATAATGTGGTTAGTCTGGTCACCGTTCATGTTTTTGTTGTAGTTTATAAAAGGGGTCATCCATATATGACGTCACGCTTTTTTGACGATTTTTACCTCACCCCCCTCCCCTCCACACGTCGACACAAAAAACCAGACCCCCCCCCCCCCCCCGCCCCGTAAATGACGTCACACCATCCGTCTACAACCCCCCCCCCTCAAAATTGCAGTTGAATTTTCCTTAAAACATCGATATTTTTTTTTTTAATCTTGTCAGAAACTCAGTCAACATACAGTATTTTGATCAACCTATTACAATTTATTAAAACCGTTTTCTAAAACGCGATAAAACGACTAAAACTGATTTCTAGCTTTGCTTTTTTACACTGCAAAAAAGTGACGTCACACCATCTGAACTCCCACCACTCATCACACACCGTCTCAAAATTACGGACACCCCCCTCCCCCCCCCCCCCCTACGAGTGTGACGTGAAGTATGGACGACCCCTATTATCACATTCAAAATAAATTACAACTGTGATGGTCCGGTCATATATTTTGAAATAGCCTACCACTGCGCAGTAAGGCGTTTTTTTTTTTAAACTAACGCCACAAATTTTTTTAAAGAGTAGTTTTTGTGCCAGACTGATTTAACCCTACATCCGACCAACCCTTAAGACTGGATTATTTTTTTATGACCTCAAAACGTGGCTCGACCAAGGAAACGGGAATTCCGCAAATTTATTTATAGTACACAAACATTTCCTAGAAATATATTCGTTACTGCAATGAGGATACGAATAGGGCTAGTTGTGGACAATGACAAGGCTTATCTTAGTTAGTTGGACAATGGGCCCGCCGTCTTTAGTCAAGGCTTGTTATAGTGAGGTGGACAATGGGCCCACCGTCTGTAGTCAAGGCTTATCATAGTTAGGTGACAATGGGCCCACCGTCTTTAGTCAAGGCTTGTTATAGTGAGGTGGACAATGGGCC